AAGTCCCACGAGCCTCCCCCACTCTGCCCCCCCCCCCCCTGCACCAAGAATACAGAGCATCACTGCCCCGGACAGAGTGTTCCATACCCACTGATGGACCTCTGTTCCATATGTTTATCCAATCCCCTCTTGAAGCTGTCTATGCTTGTGGCCACCTCCACTCCTTGCAACAGAAAATCCCACCTGTTAATTCCTCATTGGGTGAAGAGATAATTCCTTTTCATAGAATCATAGACTTGGAAGGGACCTCCAGTGTTATCTAGTCCAACCCCCTGTTCTAAGCCCACTGCTCGTTAATTCCTCCACATGCAGCTGCTGGTGTGACTTTGGGTCAGTCACCAGTTCTCTCAGAGCTGTTCTCTCAAGAGCAGTCCTCAAAAGAGCTCCCTCAGCCCCACCTACCTCACAGGGTGTCTGTTGTGGGGAGGGGAAGGGAAAGGAGTTTGTAAGCCACTCTGAGACTCCTTTGGGTAGGGAAGGGTGGGGGTATAAACCCAACCTCCTCCCCCTCCCCATCCCTTGAGTTCCACAAAGGGGGGAAAGGAGCCCGTAAATGCTCAGGATAAAATAAATATGTAAGAAAGCTGATCATTTTTTATTTTAAGTTTAGGCAAGAGATTCTCAAGTTCTTAAATTCAGGTTCTGCTTGTTGTTGTTGTTTTTTAAAAAACCTCTCTGGCCGGGTGTTTTTTAAATTGTAACTTTTATGTTTTATTATGCCCTGATTTGGATAGCCCAGGCTAGCCTGATATTGTCGTATCTTGGAAGCTAAGCAGGGTTGGCTCCGGTTAGTACTTGGATGGGAGCAGGGGTCATTTTGTAGGAAAAGGGGTGCAGGAGCTCAAACTGGAGAGCTGGTTTGGTGTAGTGGTTAAGTGCGGGGACTCTAATCTGGGAGAACCGGGTTTGATTCCCCACTCCTCCACTTGCACCTGCTGGTGTGACCTTGGGTCAGTCACAAGCTCTGGCACAGCTGTCCTTGAAAAAGAGCCCTTTCTGTCAGAGCTCTCTCAGCCCCACCGACCTCACAGGGTGTCTGTTGTGGGGAGGGGAAGGGAAAGGAGTCTCTGAGCCGCTCTGAGACACCTTTGGGTAGTGAAGGGCGGGGTATAAATCCAATCTCCTCCTCCTCTTCTTCTTCCTCTTCTTCCTCTTCTTCCTCTTCTTCCTCTTCTTCCTCTTCTTCCTCTTCTTCCTCTTCTTCCTCTTCTTCCTCTTCTTCCTCTTCTTCCTCTTCTTCCTCTTCTTCCTCTTCTTCCTCTTCTTCCTCTTCTTCCTCTTCTTCCTCTTCTTCCTCTTCTTCCTCTTCTTCCTCTTCTTCCTCTTCTTCCTCTTCTTCCTCTTCTTCCTCTTCTTCCTCTTCTTC